TCTGGCCTCCTGGATCGAACTTTTGGTAATGTGTTTCTGATATCGAGCTTTTTTTTTTTTTTTTTTTTTTTTTTGTTAATAATTTGGACCATCTCTAGATTTATGCATGTTGTTCCTTGCGCAGGGGCTGTGCTAGCTAATCTTCTCTTTTTCTGTATCGTACTATCGTTCCTATTTTAAGTTTTTTAACGGATGTCTGGAAGGACAAGGTTGCCAGTTTTTCTTGGGGTTTGGAATTCGCCTATAAGTTAAACCACCACTTCATCCGAATGTATTTTGAGAATTTTTGATAAACGACAAGTTGAATTTCCCCACGCCTAAAATCCACAGTACCACCGTGAGGGAAAAAATAAAAACAAAATTGCGGCAGCCAGCCTTCCCCACCGAACCTCTACCAGGCCTGGGCACTGTAGATTTTGCCGCAGTACTACTTGTCGACAAAGAAAAATGAACAGTGCGGGGCCTGTTGGAGTGGTGGTTTAATCAAGACTTTAATGTGATCTCTGGAGTCTGATGGAAGTTGGCTGCGGTCTTGTTGTTCATTTGAGTGCTTCCGCCGCGCTCTTGCCACTGCCTTTTCTTTTTTTTTGGGTTTCGTTTTTTTTCCACTTTGCGCTTTCCACACTCTTTTACCCTCTCTCCTTTATATTTGTTGCACTCCTGCGCTGGGGTTTTGTGTCTGCAACTCTTTTGTGATGAGCCAGTCAATGAGCAGAAGGGTTTGTTCACCCGTCGACATCTCACTGTCTCTTGCTGCAAGCGTTAGCTCGAGTCCTTTTTTTCATCCATTCGGCCGCCAATCACTGCAACAACGAGTAGCGGCGTTCCTTCATTCGTGAGCTAACTTGCAACAAGAGTGTGAAGTTTGAAGGGCCGACTCTGCGAATAAATGGGCACCCGCCGGTCCGTTTTTTGAATTTCTGCCCATGGGGCATGATAAGAGACCGAATGGCGTCTGGGTGTCGTGGTTGGCATTTCGCATCCATGGTTTTGTTAACTTTTTTTTGGTGATAACTTTTGTTTTGTACCTACGCGTACCTATCTTTCTGCCAGGTGCATGGTGCATAATCAACGGAGGAGATGCATTTGTTTGCGCTAATAAAAAAGGAGGAGAATGAAAGAAGAAGAAAAAAAGTTGCCTAGAGAATGTTTGTTTGTTTGTTTGTTTGTTTGCTTGTGTGAGTGTTTGAGTGTTTGTTTGTTTGTTTGTTTGTTTGTTTTTCGGTTGGTCAAGAAGATTGACGTAGTGATGAACTGAAATTGACATCGTTCAAGAGGTTTTGTTTTTTCCAGGTGGTGGATGTCTGGCTCAGCTATTCGCCGGTGAAGAACAATGCAAAAGATGCGGCTGCCAAGGTGAGTCGTCGAAAAAACAGTTCTGCTTCAGGCCTTCAGCCAATAGGGTGCCGCCACGATCCAGATTCTCGGCTGTAACGTCTCTCTACGCGTGTGCCTTCTCCTCTCCGTGAAACGCGGATTCCTTGTGCCCAAGGGAGGACCTTGCGAGGTCCCTTGGGCAAGGGACCTCGCAAGGTCCCTTGGGCAATAGGAAGAAATGGCTGGGGAAAGTCCTATTGCCCGAGGAATTTCCTTACGAAGTTACGAGTGTTTTCACTTTTTTTTTTCGATTGCATCCCCGAGGACAGGTGGAACGAACAATTCCTTGGGGATTTTGTTGTCCCCGAGGAGTGTCTAACGAGCCCCTTAGGTGCGGTCGGAGGGGAGCGTGGATGCAAGCGAATCGCGGCGTCACGACCAGTGCGTCTCCTATAAAACGAACAAAAAAAAAAGCATCCACCAACTACCCGGGAGGTCCTGCGGTGGTGCGAATGGCAGTATTACAAGCGCTGGATGTCCCACAAAACAAACAGACAAAAATAGGCCTCCACCGCTAGCTGCGAGGGTTTGTGGTGAGTTGACGTAGCTGCGGAATTGGTCCAGCTTAGGTGCGGTGGGAGGGGAGCATGGATGGAGGCATGCGAACGGGAGTTACAAACGCTGAGTGCCACACGACACGAGACAAACAAATGACAGAAAGCGTCCAATCGATGCGACCTTCCCCGCTAGGGCTGCCAGAAATCGGTTCAGTACCCAGCCTTGCCAAGCTCTGCTATCGTGTTCACCTGAATAGAATGCCCGGTCATTATGGCTGCATCTGGACTGAAAACTGGCCCCAAATACAGCTACAATGACCGGGAGCTCTATTCGGGTGAAGACCGTAGGCTCGGCAGGTAAGGGCCCGACCAGCGCTCTTAGGGAATGTCCTCGGGCAACGTCCCCGAGGACACGTGGAGCGACGGCCCAAATTTCCTTTTGAACCATTGGAAATTTTCCTGTTGCCCGAGGATTTCAGAAGGAGTGTTGAACGGCGCCCTAAGGATAAAACGCAATGGAATTCGAACAGAAAGAAGATGACAAGAGTTTTAACTTTTAACTTTTACTATCATGGCATAATCACCTTCCTCCCCACTTCACTTTGACGCACGCTGTCAAAGTTCTCAACCCTTCTACTCTTACACCACTCTTATTCTGCAAGTACGTTCTCACTGCACAGCCTCCCAGCAAACGTGGACCATTGTCCACGTTTGTGGAATCTCAGGGATGTCGCGAACAGTGGTGAAGGGCCTTAAGGCAAAGCTTTTGTGCCAGGTAGGAAATCGTAAATCAAGCCTACTTCTAGAAAATTTCAAATCCTAAGTTGAGGCTACTGCTATGGGAAGTTTCGAACCGACGCCACTGCTAGACTCCCTAGGAGTACATCTTTTGTGGTACTAAGCTGCTGGTGTCTGTTCTCTCTGCTGCCAATCCTTCTTTTGCTGTATTTCAATTTTCAACACTTCATGGATGTACCAACTGGGCAAAAAAAAAAAAGTTGATCACTTTTTTTAAGTTCTTAAAACTTTTCTAAGGTTTTTTTTTTTCTTTTTTTTTCTTTTCTGCATAACATTTTTTTTTCCCAGTTGTTGTTGTTGTTGTTGTTGTTGTTGTTGTTGTTGTTGTTGTTGTTGTTGTTGTTGTTGTTTTTTGCTGGGACCTTCTTTGGTCCTTTCACGACCGGGCTGCCTGGGAAAACAAGGTGACTTGGGCGGATCGGCTGGTAGCCTAGGCTTTCAAGTTTCAACGTATTTCTTTCCCAAGTTTCCAACCCTTCATGTCACGTTGACCGTGTTTCTTGCGGAAGTTTGCGGACTTCCGACGCGTCGATCGTGACAATTCTAAGTGCGTATGCATGGGTTCAATGGGCGGCTGAGTCGGGCTGACACCTTTTGCGTGAATTTAATGCACATGCTCAATGGGTAGCTGACAACCCTTCGTGGAGCTGGTGCACTTTCTGACACCCGACTCCTTTTTTGCATTGGGATCAGGAATGTGGTGAACAGTGCATTATCATATATACAAATATTCAGCCTCATCTCCTGTTGAATCGGTGGAAGCACAATGAAACTAACGTCCTGTGACGGACTCCTGTTTTTGTCCTCTTCGAAGTTTTCATCCTTTCTGCGAGTGGTGTACTGACTCTACTGAGCAGTTCATTTTCAGGCTCCTGCTGTTGCAACCCCCATTTTCTCTCTTTTCCCTTTTCCGTCAACCCCTTCACTATTGTTCGGATGAACCACACATTTGTGCTCCGCCACGCGCAGACCACATGATGAAACACAAATTTGTGCTCCGCCACGCGCCGACCACATGACTGACCAGCAAACAACCCAACACAGCTTGGGCCTGCAACACCATTTGGGTGATCTGCAAATTGTTGGCCAGCATCCAACAAACCAGCCTGAGAACCTCACCAATCTCTGTGGTCTGACGGCAACTAATATCTGTCTTCACATTGTCCACCGTCTGTTTTATACACCATCAGACTTCCTTGCAACCGCCCTTCAGCTTGATGCTGATCTTCCCCAACTACAGCTAGAGGATTGTAATTATACCAGCGAAGGAGGCTTTACCATTGCTGTCCTACAAGTATCAATGAGGGACCGTCAGCTTGAACTACGCAATGCTCGAGCAGGTAAGTGGTTTAATCCTCGATTCCACGTCTCTGCCTGCATTGTGCACGGGCCTGTCCGTTACATGGCCATTGTACATGCCTCTGACCACTGGGAGCTGTGGGACAACGGCACCATGGTCCATGCCATGACTGATGTCACCGATTTCTTACAAAATGATGCTGTTTTCTTGCCACAAAAAAACGTCCACAATCTCTTTTATCATTTTATGTCGAAAATCATTCCTCTGGCCCCGTGCTGCAGCAAGACAATGTACCAATACTGTCCGACCTTCTCCTTTGCACAGCCACAAACACTGTTACACTCGGCTGTAGCCGCCATCGTCTCTGTCACAATCACTACAATGACATCGTTTCTGCATCCATGTGTGCAGAGGACTGTTCCTCCGTTCCTAACTGCAGGCACCCTCCGCATCTGGACACTATATGTCCATTTTGCGGCCTTGGGCGCTATACTGAATGCATGGTCTTTTGTGGTGACCGTTCTTCCTTTATTTTGGCCTGCAATCGACATGTCATTTGTCAGGGGTGTATGGTGGGCATGCTCAATGCCAGCCGCCGTGGCAATTGTTGCACTGAGAATGCTCAGTTAGGTCTTCCATGTATTCATCCACCTCATCTTTACAATGTATGTCCTCTCTGTCGTCAAGGACAGACTCATTCTTGAGCCTTTTCTTATCCTCTTTTGCCTTCATCTTCACTCCACACTCCATACTTTCCCTTACTTTCCCTTTATCGTTCTTTGTTTGTCTGCTCTCCATCTCTCCTCCTCATGTTTATCCCCTCCCCCTTCACTCTGCCTCTTTCTCGCAGCATACAAGTGGGCCGTTACGGTACATGGGGGTGGGGGCAGCTCGCGCTCAACTTCATCAACGTGGCGAGCCTTGTACGTGAGAGACACGGTGAAGGGGGAGTTAAAAAGAAGAATGAGAAAAATGAACGGTTTCAGTGTGCCCTTCATGTTTGTCTTGTTTTTTAATTTTTTATTTTTGCCGTTTGTTTCACAAAGTGCGCTCTTTTGGTTCATAGTTGTGTGACAATATATGCATGTACCGTCATAGAGTATAGACATGGTAGCACATCGACAACCTTTCCGTCAACATTTCTCATACTTGTTTGTGTGGTGTTTGGTGTCTTAAACCACCACTGCACCCGTGGCTGGAGGCGGTGTACTGCACGCCAAGCTTTTCAAAACCGCCAGCGGCGCACTTTATTTCTTTTTTGGCTGGCGCCACCAGCCATTGTGGTCCCCGATAGCCCCGAGGCGCGAAATTTTCGGAGTAGGTGATTATCAAGTCTCCGCAAGGCTGGGGCTGTGTACTCGCGGTTCAACTGGGCCTACACAGATTGCCAGTGGGACTACTCATCACACAAAGAGCACAATATGTATGCATAAGTCGTCATGGAGTGTACACATGATAGTACATCGACGACGTTTCCGTCAACATTTGTCATGCTTATTTGTGTGGTGTTCGGTGTCTTAACTGGGCCTATGCAGATTGCCACTGGGACTCCTCCTCATAGTGCGACATCTGGTGAGATGGACGTTTACAGATCGAACTGTCGGATCCTTCGGCAGGTGAGAAGACAATCTCTCTCTCTCTCTCTCTCTCTCTCTCTCTCTCTCTCTCTCTCTCTCTCTCTCTCTCTCTCTCTCTCTCTCTCTCTCTCTCCTGAGCTGTTTCACAGTGCTACAGTGGGTCATCTCCCTCCCTCTCTCTCTCTCTCACAGCTCCTTTTGTGAAACTGTGTGCCGTGTTCGCTACGGCTGCATGTTACCTCTCGTAGGGGGTATGCGTGGGTAGAACGGTGGCGGGACAGAGCCGTGAGCAGAGAAAACCGTTTGTCAGGCTCGTGCAGTCGACAAACCTATTCTGTGCCAGCCTCGTACAACGCATGGAAATATAAATTATATAATATGCTTTTTTTTTTTTTTTTTTTTGTGGTCGATTTGTCGCTCAAGACAAGGCTTAGATAGAATAATGTGTAAGGCGTTGTTTCCGTACGCCTTGTATTGAGCACCACACATTGGTGGTACAAGTTATATATAGCCCCACGGTCCAGGCGAAGGATGCGCATAAAGAGCGTTGGGGATGCAACATTCGCACAGGCGACAGTCAAGTAACATGCATGATGCGTGTATTCACTGTATTGTCTTCCATGCAATGTGATGATGATGATGATGATGATGATGATGACGATGATGATGATGATGATAATGATGATGATGATGCAATGTCTCAAGCAAAACGTTTCATCTCGGAATTTTCCCGAACTGTTATGTTTCTCGTCTTTTTTTTTTTTTTTTTTTTTTTTTTNTTTTTTTTTTTTTTCTTTTTTTTTTCTTTCTGTTTTTTCTTTTCTTATTTTTCTTTTCCCAGGGTGGAGGCTTTGTTTGGGGTGCGGGGACGGCAAGCTGGCTATGGGGAACTGCCTGTTTCTCTCAGTAGTTACGCTGGCAGTCTGCCATCTCTCATCATCATCTCTCTTCTCGTTGGGGTTATTCCTTCGACTTCTCTGCAAGCTTAGGTTCTTCTGAATACCGTTTAACCATTTAGTTAAAGGTTAAAATGTTTGGCCAGTCTCGGCAAGGAATCCATCCAAATGATGACAGCAGCAGCAACGACAGCAAGAAAAAAAAATAAAAATTGATCATCAGTTTGTTCAACTTTTGTCATCTTTTAAGTTTCAAAAAAACAAAAACTAATAAATGAAAATAATTAAAAAAAAATGTTATCGTTCATGAAGTTTCCTCGCTCATCTCTTCTCAGTTGGGCCCCTCACTCCTCTTATTAACTTCTCTGCAAGGTTAGTTAACTTAGTTTTTCTGAAAACCGTTTCCATATCCATAGGACAGCTGGTGTTAGAAGTTAAAACCTAACGCACCTTCCATGTTCCGGATCACGCACAAGAGGAGGAACCGATGGCCTTACGTGACGTAGCTTAGTATGAGTGTTTTGACAACAAGCGTGGATGGAAGACGCGAATGAAAGTCCCCACCTTAGCCTTAGTAGCACGAACGTGACGTAGCTTAGTGTCCTAGAGGAAGACGAAGGCGAAGAACTTCCGAAGAAGCAGACGAGGAGGTAACATGAAAAAAAAAAAATACAATGGTGGGGTGTTGGACGGAACTTGGACCACTTTAAGTTTGAATCTCCCTAATAAATAAATAATCCAAATGATCCAAATGTTCCGAATGATGACAACAGCAGCAGCAGCAGATGCAGCACCAGCAGCAACCACCACCACCACCACCACAGCAACAACAACAACGACAACAACAAGAAACAACAACAACACAGGTTAACATGGACCCTCACTTTTCAGCCGTGGTTAACCCCCCAAGCACTGAAAGAAGGTGTGGGACGTTTGTTATAATGGCCCTGAAAAAAGTTCAAAGGACCCCTCCGGAAAATTTAGGGGGCTCTGTTAGGGGCCTCCGGAAAAAGATCCAATGTAGGTAACGGCTTCTCAACAACAAAGAACAACAAAGAAGAACAAAGAAGAACAAAGAAGAAGAACAACAACAGCAATCACAATCATAAACTAGCTAGAGCGTATTTTGCCGTCTTTGCAGTGCAGGACTTAGTTGGATTGACTTTACGATGTGGATGTTTTTTTGCTATCAGGCTGGTGTGAGTATTGAAGACCCAGCTCCTGCCACTTTCAATCAACAGCAAGTGGAAGTGTGGCCCAGAATCGTATGGTCACCTCGGTGGGCACTCACGTATGCTGATGTCAAGGAGAAGGTTCCTGAAGGAGGAAGAGTATCCATATCTCAGAGATCCACTCTCGTGATCGATGGCCCTGACGTCATTCTGGAAGATCTTCATCTTGATGGAGCGCTCATCATAAAGGCTGTTCCTGGTGCAAAGGTGCGAAGGCGCTTCCCCCCCCCCTCCCCCCCTCTCCCCTCTTCACCTTTAAACACCTAACAATTAGTAACAAAGTTAAACAAAAAACTTTTTCTTTTTCAGCATGTTCCCTTTCTTTTCCTCGTTTGAAGAAAGTGAAGTGATAGTGTGAGTGCATCAGTACATCCGGAATCACATGTCATAAACCTGGTGCCAGCAGAGTGCGCTCATCTGCAGACACCATGGCCCTGCTTTCTTTTGTCCTTGCACAAAATCGCTTGGATGACCTCTACAACTATTATTCCATTTCCTTTGCTACTCATCTTCTACTGCGTAAAGCTCTGCTTTCTCAACTTTTTTTAAGTTTTTTTTGAAGTTTTTTTTTTTTTTTTTTTTCCCTTTTGTCCTTGATTATCCTGGTTTCATCGTGGTAAGTTATGTCAGTCGTTTAACCATAGCCTTCGTCTCTCCTTGTTCGTCGTCCCCATTTGGATTTGCCACTTAGCCCCACTGCACAGTGAAGTTGAAACTCCCTCCCAGTCTTTTTTTTTTTTAAAAACCGGCGTCAGGCTGTTAGAGGGAGTGATATGAGCATCCTCCTCTCGCAGCTGTCACTGGTCCTTACCTTGCAGATGTTCAGTTCTTGCATGCCTATGTCTTTGTGTGTATTGTTGAATGGGTATCTCACCATTCCTTCCATCCCACTCACCACTGCACAGTAAACAGAATGAAGTCGATTCTCCCCATTCCTGATGTCACAGATGTTCGATTCCCACATATCTGGTTTGCCTGCACATGGCTGTGTTTGTAACTTTGTATGGCTATGTACTCTGTACATGTTCATTTATAGGCACCACGTCTGTCTGTATGGCTATGTACTATGTACTAGTACATGTTCATTTGTCTGCACCATGTCTGTATGGCTGTGTACTATGTACAGTGTACTGTGTAACTTTGTCTGGCTATGTGCTATGTACTATGTACTATGTACTATGTGTTGTGTACTATGTACTGTGTACTCTCTCTCTCTCTCTCTCTCTCTCTCTCTCTCTCTCTCTCACACACACACACACACACACACACACACACACTCACATTCTCTCTCTCTCTCTCGCGCGCGCGCGCGTCAACATTCCACATGTATGTGGGGTGGTATCATGTGGTGTGGGTGATAGTATGTGGACTGGGTGGTGTCATGCGGGATGGGCCATACTGTGCGGACTGGACACACAGCCATAAAACATACCGAGGCGATACTATGTGGGCTGGGTGGTAATATGTGGGGCAGGTCATAGCATGTGGACTGGATGGCACTATGCCAGCTGCGTGGTGCCCTGCGGGGCACAGGTTGGCGATGCTACCCGCAAAAGAGCACACAAAAGAAAAAAAAGGCCATGCGGATGTGGCTGAATGGTACACCCATCAACCAGCCATCGATAGATCAACGAATCTTACGCACAGAATTAAGGGGGATACTCGCAGCAATTCTGAATGGGCCTGCTATGTATGTGTATGCAAACAACATCCCGGATTCGCGTGTATGTAATTGAAGTTTAAACCACCAGCACATGCCAGCTTTCAGCCGGAGGCCCCTTTCGGAGGCCGAGTGCCGCCGATTTATTCATCTAGGGCGCCAGAGCCTCGGAAAATTTAGGAGAGGCTCAATCCCATTCTCAACGTGGCTGGGGCTTTAAAGGCCTCTCCTAAAATTTCGGAGAAATAAAGGTGGGTGTGCTTTAAAGGCCGATCACGTCCAGAAAGAAATAAGCGAAGAAGGTCCTACTGTGAGCATGTCGTGAGAAACGACTATGCATGAGCATGTCGTGAGAAACGACTCTGACTATGTCTCAGCCATGCCCTGCGAAAACGCTGTGTAATCATGCCCTGGGTAACGACGACTTGTCAGCCCGCCCTAAAGAAACTACTATGTGTGAGCATCCCTTGCCCTTAGAACCGACTATGTGTGAGCATGCGCGCCCTAAAGAAACGACTATGTGTGAACATCCCAGATTGGAGTGGATGCATGTGACCACAATTATGCCCTAAGAAACAAGTATGGCTTTGCATTCGAACGTCCCACATTTTGAGCGGATGTATCCGACCACAATCATGCCCTAAGAAACAACTATATGCATTTATAAATTATAATTTTATATTCCAACATCCCAGATTCTACGCATGCATGTATCTGGCCACTATCGCGCCCTTAGAAAGGCACCGACGACTCTGGTGCCGTAAGAAATGCCTATTTGTGTGAGCATATGTCGTAAAGAAACGAGTGTGTGATATATGCCCATTCAACAATACACACAAAGACAAAGGCATGCAAGAGCTGAGCATCTGCAAGGTAAGGACCAGTGACAGCCTGACGCCGGTTTCAAAAAAAAAAAAGAGGAGGACTGGGAGGGAGTTTCAACTTCACTGTGCAGTGGGGCTAAGAAACGACTATTTGTGAGCGTGTTCGAAAGACATGATGACCATTTGTGTGATATATGCCCTAAAGAAATGACTCTGTGAGCGTGCCCTAAGAAATTACTATGGCCGACGAAGAAACGTTGATCGCAGACTTGAGTGGATGTATCGGACCACCATCACGTCCACAAACAAGCAAAAGAATGCTGGTGTGGGGCGGGCACGCATCCTCAAATAAGCTAAAAAGAATCCTTGTGGGAGCATGCGCTGACAAACAACGAACATCCCATTGTGTGTCCCCCGACGTCTCCAGGTTCAAGCGTCTCCTCTTTTGCTTTTGCTGCTCAGCTCTTGTGGTCGACGTCGGGCAGAGGCAGTGAAAACACTGAAAAGGTCATTTGTATTCGAACATCAGGCGGAACGGAAGTTCGCGGAACCTTGCAACAGAAGCGCTTGAGGCCATGTACCGATGCGCAGGGCCGCAACAATGACCGGGAGCTAAAAAAAGAAAGAGCATACGAGCTCGACACAACGTGCCAGGCCTGAACCCACAACAATAMAAAAAAAAAAAAAAAAAAAAAAGGTGCTCGCAAAGATTCGAGGTCCAGTCGGACGCGCAGAACACTGCCACGTAGAAGTGAAAMGATAAMAACAAMGMCGAWTAAACWACGAAAGACAAAAGGGGAAACATGTGTCACAGCGTGTCCAATGGAAACACTGTGCGACACCTTTTTTTTTTTTTTTTTTCGTGTTAATTTGGACCATTTCTCGATTTATGCGTGTCATCCTTGCGCAGGGGCCATGCTAATCTTCCTTCTCTGTATCGTTCCAATTCTAACGGATGTCCAGAAGGACCGGCACCTATTTTTGGTGGGGCTGCAGGCACTGTCTTCCGGGTATATATACGAGCGTTGGGCCTGTACTAGCAGACTTTGTCTTTTCTTCTGGAAGAGAATGCTTTTTAATTTGTTCTTCTCTTTAATCTTCCCTATTGATTGGGGTGTTGCGTTTTGCGGGCC